CCAATAACATCACTCCTGTTCACAGGGATGCTTCATTGGCAGAGAAGCTGAATCATTTCTTTGCCCGCTTCGAAATGAAGCCATCAGAGGCAGCTGTGCTGCAGCCACTAGTCCACCGCAGCCCTCCCCTCACCGTGAAGGAGCATGAGGTGAGGAGTACCTTGAGAGCTGTGAACTCAAGGAAGGCTGCTGGACCTGATGGCATTTCTGGCTGGGTGCTTAAAAACTGCGCAGACCAGTTGGCTGGGGTCTTTACCAAGATTTTTAATCGGATAGAATTTTTAATTCTATCCCAGTCCACTATTCCATCCTGTCCAAAGGCCTCCATCATTGTTCCATTACCAAAGAAGTACTTTATTAACAGTCTCAGTGATTATAGAACAGTAGCAGTCACCCCTATTATCATGAAGTGTTTTGAAAAAACGTTTCTCAAGTACATTGTGTCCTGCCACCCATACACACTTGACAGTCATCAGTTTGTATACAGAGCAAAAAGATCCACAGAACCATCACTCTCCATACTGCTCTGACTTTGGAGCAGCGGGGGACCAATGTAAGGATGCTCTTTGTGGATTTTATCTCTGCATTTAACACAATTCTTCCATACACACTGGTGTCTAAACTTGTCAATTTTGGACTTACACATTCAATCTGCTTTAGGATTATGAACTTCCTGTCTGGCCGCTCTCAGAGGGTTAGATTAGACAACTATATCTCTTCATCCCTTATTCTTAATACACGCTCCCCACAGGGCTGTGTGTTGAGCCGCCTACTCTAAACTTATGACTGCACCTCCACTCATCCCAGCAACATTATAGTTAAATTTGCGGATAATACAACAGTGGTGGGGCTTATCTCCAAGGGGGATGAGTCTGCCTACCAGGATGAGGTGGAGCAGTTGTTCTTGTGGTGCAGAGACAATAATTTGGTTCTCAACACAACTAAGACCAAGAAGCTTATAGTAGATTCCAGGAGGAATAGATCAGACATTCAGCCCCTGATCATCAGCGGAGACTGTGGAGCGGGTGGCACGCTTTAGGTTTCTGGATGTTACCATAAAGGAGGACCTGACCTGACCTGGAGTGCTCATGTTATAGCATTGGTTAAGAAGGACCAGCAGAGATTATATTTCTTGAGACTTCTCAGGAAACAACAACTGAATGAAAAACTGCTGGTGACCTTCTACCGTTGTTCCGTAGAGAGCATTCTAACCTATTGCATTTGTGTGTGTTTTGCTTGCTGCACAGTAGCAGAAAGGAAAGTGCTCCAGAGGGTCATTACCATCGCCCAGAGGATTATTGGCTGCCCTCTTCTCTCCCCCCTGGACGAACTGTACAGTTCCTGTTGTCTTAGGAAAGCTCAAAACATTCTTAAAGACATCTCATCCCAGACATTCATTTTTTGAACTATTACCATCTTGCAGATGGTACAGGATAATAATAAAAAAAAGACAAATAGGCTGAAAAATAGTTTTTATCCCAGAGCTGTAATCATATTAAATACCACAGTATAGTGCAACATTGAAGTGCAATATTAGGGGCAGTGCAATGGTGAATAGAATATGAAGGATGTGTGTGTATATAATGTATGTTCTTATTTATGGTTTTTACTTGTGTGTAGTGTGCACTATGGACAGCACTTGATTTCGTTGTGAGTTACACAATGACAATAAAGATATTCCTGTTCTAGTCTAATCTAGTCTAGTCTGTTCTACCTCCAACTTGACTAAATGGCTCAGAACATCAAAAGATCCTAGAAGAAACAGATTATTTGGATACTTTCCATTTAGGTTTCAGGCCAGGTTATAGTACCAAACCAGCATTGATCATGCTTGTGGATGACCCTGAAGTTTCAGGATAGAGGTGGTTCATTCTTGCCCTCCTGGATCAATTCAAGTTAGTTTTAGTAGAAGAGGAGAGGTCTAGCCCTGGACTTCTATTATGTGGGGTACTTCAGGACTTGATACTCTTCCCACTCTATTTAATAGCTGGCTGTAACCAACCCAGTTACAAATCCCTACTGCAGAAAGCACAAATGATTTTGTTGAGTCTCTTAACCAGTGGCTGGAGACACATCTCTATATGAAGTTTGCAATTCAATCCCATCAAGTCTTTTGTTGCTGTGGGTTTTTGGGCCTCTGAGTCTGGAACCATTCCATTTGCAATCTGAAATGAAGTTGAGTTCCCCAAAACAGAGCTGGTATGTGGTTTGGGGATTTTGGACTCATGATTACTGCTTGAGGAGCAATGGCAGCTGTGGCTAAGAGGACCTTTGGAGAAATCCATTGTGTGAGTCAGTTACTCTTGTTCATGGATCAGGAGATTTTGATCACTGTCATTCACACCTTAGTCATTTCCTGGTTGGATTAATACAACATCCTGTACATAGAGCTGCTCTTAAGAAGCATTAGGAACCTTTAACTAGTCCAGAGTTCAATGGCACACACAATACTGAAAGCATCTAGATTTACCCATGCCACAGTTTTGCTGCATAAGCTGCACTAGCTTACAGTAACAATTCAGTCATCACATTTAAAACTACACAGGTGCAAGGATAGGTTATTTATGGAACCACTTGGCTGCAAATAGTTTCTACCCATTTCACCAGATTTGACATGTTGAATATGTCCCAGACTCTTCTATGAAACAATGTCGTCTTCAGGACCCAGCAGATATGTCTTCTGTACTGCTACCCCTGCCATATAGAACAACCTCCACAAAAATATTGTGAATCTGCCAGCTTTCTTGAATGCTATAAAAATCTGACTTTTCCCTCAGGAATAAGCACAGACGATTAGTAGATATATGTGTTTTGGGGACTTATGAATTGGACCTTGTATCCTATTACATTTTTTCAGTGTATGTTGCTGTTTTTATAATAATTTTTGTATTTTGTTGGCAAGCTCACAGATTTGGCAGCCATATACATTTTCTAAATAATACTAAAATGAATAATTGAGATCTATAAAACAGAAACAAACTGAATATTTTCAGTTTTGTAAAAATGGATGCAGTGTGATTTGTCTTACATTTTAATTGTAATTTGCAGGAAAACCAGTGGCTGTTACAAGTAACCGAGGATCAGGAAAAGCATTGTTACGTCCTGGTGCAAATCCACAACTGGAAAGGCAATATTATCTGAATAAATTGTTGAAAGGCAGAACAGGTACAAATCTGTAGTTTTTGAAATTACAAAAATAAATACTGTTTAATTTATGATTTTGTCATTTTACTACCCAAGTTACTTCTATAATATTATAATATGCTTTTAAATAAATGTGTTGTATTTTTTAAACTGTATGAAAATATACCATCCATTTTGAGAAAAATACAGGGGTAGGACTATTTTCAATTATTCTACTATCAATGAGAATGCTTCCTTTAGAAAGAAAAAAAAATTCATAGTGGGAACTTTGAGTGGCATAGCCATGCTTTATACCAGGGGTGTCAAACTGTCGGCCCGTGGGCCGGATGCATCATGCCGACACCTCACCCACCCCATTGCCAGCAATGGAAAAAAAGTTGCGATACGTCGCGTCACATCATGTGACGTTGCGAGTTTGACACCCCTGCTTTAGACAAACATCACAATCCATGAAGAATAACTCTGGATGCTTCCTGATAGATTGCTGTGCCATCCATGTTATTTATTTAAAACATTTATACGGCTGCTTAACATGCATGATCATGACTCTGAACTGTGTGCATTAATAAAATCAAAGGAAAAAACAAATTACAATTAAAACCAAATATATCAAGAAACCAAAGCAAAAGAAATTGATATACTAATAGCACAAGTTCCATCTCCCAAAGTTCAACATCCAAAGAAAACAAGTTTTAANAAAAAAAAAATTTAAAAAAAAAAAAAAACTGCGCAGACCAGTTGGCTGGGGTCTTTACCAAGATTTTTAATCGGATAGAATTTTTAATTCTATCCCAGTCCACTATTCCATCCTGTCCAAAGGCCTCCATCATTGTTCCATTACCAAAGAAATACTTTATTAACAGTCTCAGTGATTATAGAACAGTGGCAGTCACCCCTATTATCATGAAGTGTTTTGAAAAAACGTTTCTCAAGTACATTGTGTCCTGCCACCCATACACACTTGACAGTCATCAGTTTGTATACAGAGCAAAAAGATCCACAGAGCCATCACGTTCCATACTGCTCTGACTTTGGAGCAGCGGGGGACCAATGTAAGGATGCTCTTTGTGGATTTTATCTCTGCATTTAACACAATTCTTCCATACACACTGGTGTCTAAACTTGTCAATTTTGGACTTACACATTCAATCTGCTTTAGGATTATGAACTTCCTGTCTGGCCCCTCTCAGAGGGTTAGATTAGACAACTATATCTCTTCATCCCTTATTCTTAATACAGGCTCCCCACAGGGCTGTGTGTTGAGCCGCCTACTTTACACCCTCTAAACTTATGACTGCACCTCCACTCATCCCAGCAACATTATTGTTAAATTTGCGGATGATACAACAGTGGTGGGGCTTATCTCCGAGGGGGATGAGTCTGCCTACCAGGATGAGGTGGAGCAGTTCTTGTGGTGCAGAGACAATAATTTGGTTCTCAACACAACTAAGACCAAGGAGCTTATAGTAGATTCCAGGAGGAATAGATCAGACATTCAGCCCCTGATCATCAGCGGAGACTGTGGAGCGGGTGGCACGCTTTAGGTTTCTGGGTGTTACCATAAAGGAGGACCTGACCTGACCTGGAGTGCTCATGTTATAGCATTGGTTAAGAAGGCCCAGCAGAGATTATATTTCTTGAGACTTTTCAGGAAACAACAACTGAATGAAAAACTGCTGGTGACCTTCTACCGTTGTTCCATAAAGAGCATTCTAACCTATTGCATTTGTGTGTGTTTTGCTTGCTGCACAGTAGCAGAAAGGAAAGTGCTCCAGAGGGTCATTACCATCGCCCAGAGGATTATTGGCTGCCCTCTCCTCCCCCCGGACGAACTGTACAGTTCCCATTGTCTTAGGAAAGCTCAAAACATTCTTAAAGACATCTCATCCCAGACATTCTTTTTTTGAACTATTACCATCTAGCAGACGGTACAGGATAATAATAATAAAAAAGACAAATAGGCTGAAAAATAGTTTTTATCCCAGAGCTGTAACCATATTAAATACCACAGTATAGTGCAACATTGAAGTGCAATATTAGGGGCAGTGCAATGGTGAATAGAATATGAAGGATGTGTGTGTATATAATGTATGTTCTTATTTGTGGTTTTTACTTGTGTGTAGTGTGCACTGTGGACAGCACTTGATTTCGTTGTGAGTTACACAATGACAATAAAGATATTCCTGTTCTAGTCTAATCTAGTCTAGTCTGTTCTACCTCCAACTTGACTAAATGGCTCAGAACATCAAAAGATCCTAGAAGAAACGGATTATTTGGATGCTTTCCATTTAGGTTTCAGGCCAGGTTATAGGACCAAACCAGCATTGATCATGCTTGTGGATGACCCTGAAGTTTCAGGATAGAGGTGGTTCATTCTTGCCCTCCTGGATCAATTCAAGTTAGTTTTAGTAGAAGAGGAGAGGTCTAGCCCTGGACTTCTATTATGTGGGGTACTTCAGGACTTGATACTCTTCCCACTCTATTTAATAGCTGGCTGTAACCAACCCAGTTACAAATCCCTACTGCAGAAAGTACAAATGATTTTGTTGAGTCTCTTAACCAGTGGCTGGAGACACATCTCTATATGAAGTTTGCAATTCAATCCCATCAAGTCTTTTGTTGCTGTGGGTTTTTGGGCCTCTGAGTCTGGAACCATTCCATTTGCAATCTGAAATGAAGTTGAGTTCCCCAAAACAGAGCTGGTATGTGGTTTGGGGATTTTGGACTCATGATTACTGTTTGAGGAGCAATGGCAGCTGTGGCTAAGAGGACCTTTGGAGAAATCCATTGTGTGAGTCAGTTACTCTTGTTCATGGATCAGGAGATTTTGATCACTGTCATTCACGCCTTAGTCATTTCCTGGTTGGATTAATACAACATCCTGTACATAGAGCTGCTCTTAAGAAGCATTTGGAACCTTTAACTAGTCCAGAGTTCAATGGCACACACAATACTGAAAGCATCTAGATTTACCCATGCCACAGTTTTGCTGCATAAGCTGCACTAGCTTACAGTAACAATTCAGTCATCACATTTAAAACTACACAGGTGCAAGGATAGGTTATTTATGGAACCACTTGGCTTCAAATAGTTTCTACCCATTTCACCAGATTTGACATGTTGAATATGTCCCAGTCTCTTCTATGAAACAATGTCGCCTTTAGGACGCAGCAGATATGTCTTCTGTACTGCTACCCCTGCCATATAGAACAACCTCCACAAAGAGATTGTGAATCTGCCAGCTTTCTTGAATGCTATAAAAATCTGACTTTTCCCTCAGGAATAAGCACAGACGATTAGTAGATATATGTGTTTGTGAATTGGACCTTGTATCCTATTACATTTTTTCAGTGTATGTTGCTGTTTTTATAATATTTTTTGTATTTTGTTGGCAAGCTCACAGATTTGGCAGCCATATACATTTTCTAAATAATACTAAAATGAATAATTGAGATCTATAAAACAGAAACAAACTGAATATTTTCAGTTTTGTAAAAATGGATGCAGTGTGATGTGTCTTACATTTTAATTGTAATTTGCAGGAAAACCAGTGGCTGTTACAAGTAACCGAGGATCAGGAAAAGCATTGTTACGTCCTGGTGCAAATCCACAACTGGAAAGGCAATATTATCTGAATAAATTGTTGAAAGGCAGAACAGGTACAAATCTGTAGTTTTTGAAATTACAAAAATAAATACTGTTGAATTTATGATTTTGTCATTTTACTACCCAAGTTACTTCTATAATATTATAATATGCTTTTAAATAAATGTGTTGTATTTTTTAAACTGTATGAAAATATACCATCCATTTTGAGAAAAATACAGGGGTAGGACTATTTTCAATTATTCTACTATCAATGAGAATGCTTCCTTTAGAAAGAAAATAAAATTCATAGTGGGAACTTTGAGTGGCATAGCCATGCTTTATACCAGGGGTGTCAAACTGTCGGCCCGTGGGCCGGATGCATCATGCCGACACCTCACCCACCCCATTGCCGGCAATGGAAAAAAAGTTGCGATACGTCGCGTCACGTCATGTGACGTTGCGAGTTTGACACCCCTGCTTTAGACAAACATCACAATCCATGAAGGATAACTCTGGATGCTTCCTGATAGATTGTTGTGCCATCGTTATTTATTTAAAACATTTATACGGCTGCTTAACATGCATGATCATGACTCTGAACTGTGTGCATTAATAAAATCAAAGGAAAAAACAAATTACAATTAAAACCAAATATATCAAGAAACCAAAGCAAAAGAAATTGATATACTAATAGCACAAGTTCCATCTCCCAAAGTTCAACATCCAAAGAAAACAAGTTTTAAAGCCTTCCTGAAGATTGACTGGGTTGGGCCAACTGAATTTCAGATGACTGGAGAGGTGGTTTAAAGAGCAAGCACCGCAACAGAAAAGGCACTCCTCCTAGCTTTCATCAGATAACATTACTTCAAGGAAGGGACCTAGAGCGTGCCCATTTTGTTAAACATGTAGGATTGACAGAAATAATCTTAGGTGGTCCTGCAAACCACCCAGACTTGTACCCTGTAGGGCTTTATAGGTGATTACTAGCACCCTGAATTCCATCTAGATCAGGGCTTTTCAACCTTTTCACCCATTGTACCACTTTTAGGATATGGCAATATCCAAGTACCACCAGTCGCCTAACAAGGTGTCAAAAACTGTTCGAAGTTACAATGACACTGAAAAAAGTGCCGAGCAAGACACCTGCCTGCCCACCTGGCAGCGCTCTTCCTCCTATCTGAGGTTTTCATTGTTGTGAGCATTTCTGTTGAGGATTGGCAGCGGGGGTGGGGTGGGGGGTGTTTGGTTTTTATTCCCCCCGTCTGCTGGGTGGTTGCAGCAGGTTTTGGTCACTTCACATGACCCTGGGCCACTGTGACCGTCATAAATATGAATCAGTTGCCAAGCATCTGAATGAAAATCACAAGACCCTGGAGATACTGCAACATTCCAGCTGATCGGTGCTTCTTCTGGGCTCAGCAGAAGCGCCAGGA